CCCCAAAACCCCAAAACCCCAAAACCCCAAAACCCCAGGAATCCATTATAAATTTGATTGTTAAAATATTAACTGTTACAAATGAGCAGCTATATCAACGATAGCTCAGGGATTCAGCACACTGATGATTATGAGGACCCTCAAAGAGGCTATGAGGACATTCTGAGAGACATGACTAGACAATTCTCCACGAAGAAGATGACCCTCCAGCAATATAATTACCTGGTTGTAAAGTTCATCAGCAGTACTTCAGCCTCCTGATTCAACTATATTTATGAGAATAAGCTAAGTAATTACTACTCGTGCTCCCTGGAAAATAAGAGAGAGGTTACTGACTTTAATGCAGAGATGGAGAAGTCAATCACTGACTTCTCTAAAGATTTGGCAGCTGTAACCTCTTCCATCATTGAAGAGGAGTGAAAGAAGTTCGTCAGCCAAAAATTGGCTCTGGATCCATCCTTTCGAGGTGCAGATAAAGAAAACCCGACCGAGTATAAATCCTACCTTGCTGATAAGACTTCTCTGGATTTTGAGGAGAAAAAGACACCTATTTCTTATGGAAAAAGTTATATCCAGACTTTGTCTGCTAAAAGAGTTTGAAACTCAGCCAAAAGAGACTTACGTTCCAAACTCTCGCAGGTGAGAGGTGACTCTACTCTTTACTCCAACTTAAAGTAAGGGATTTAAGGCGTATACAAGAAGGAACCTGAGTAACCGTAACAAATCGTGGCTTAATAAATCCGCCACAAAAACATGTGAGAAATTAACTGCAAGCCAGCCAAGGGTTTCCCAGAAAAATATGAACAGCAGTAGATCTCGCAACAGAGTAAATAAGATCGGGTCAAGCAAGACTAGTTGTTCAAATCTAACAGACTGTGCACTTGATCCTCAGAATTGATCGCTTCAACAAGAAAGCTCAGTGTTCTCTAGTCAGAACCAAGTTCCTCAAGATAGTGCACTATCTCCGCGTGAATGGATCAAGAAGATGGATAGGAGGATGGATAAGACAATCAAGCTGTCTAGGATCAATCTCTATAATGCTTGATATCCCCCTTAATTCTCCAGCAACATTTCCAATCTGAAACCTAGGCTAAGGGGTTTTGGGGTTTTGGGGTTTTGGGG